AAAGAGCTGATAGAACAAAAGAACAGAAGGAAATTCTAAATAACTTTATACAGTATTCCGCACCCTGTGGAACATTCAGGAGGTGTATTTTGAGTAATGCATTTTATTTTTACTGTGTGTAGAAGGTAGGGCATTTCAATCATATAGTGCATTTATTCTACTTATCTCTTTTACAGAAAACAGTATATTAAAGGATAAAAATAATTCCAGTTCCAATAAGATGCTAAATGCTAAAAATAATTCCTGACTCCCTCAAAATCAATCTGACTGTAATAAGGCAAACACTTATTTGAGTTTCAGCACTGGGAGAGGAGATGGGGTGGATGACAATCAATTTTATTCATAAACATACATTAGAGACAAATGATGCATAATTTAGATTCTCTCCTGGCTTGTTGAATCTGCAGGCAGCCATGCTTCATGTTGCATTAACATTTTGATTGAATGAGCAGGGTCAAAACCACCACTTTTTCTCATGTAGGGAAGGAAAATTATTCTGAAGCCAATCATCAATCAATGTATGTAATCAGCCCTCTGAAAGTACCTTGGGCTTTACACATAACCGGCTCTCTGTTGTAGTAAAATCTAAATATCAACACGTTTTTTCGTTCGATAGTCCTACCACATATACATAAAGTGTTAAAAGGCCAATGAGGACTTGAAATGTATTTTGCTATTAAAAAGATTATTGCAATGGATTTATTCCAAAGGTTGTACCATTTCAACTCCATGACTTTCGGTGTGTGGATTAATTTGCATATAATTGTTTACATATTGTTGTACAGCATAATAGAGCCTTGCTACTTTATTCATTTTCTTGAAGTTAATGGCTTTTAAAATAAATCCAATGAAGTCAAAGAAAATGTCACTGATATCAATCAAGTATACCTGTCAATATTACTACTACCAACAATATTATATTATAGTCATATTACATATATATTATAACATGACTACTTTAATAGTCACTGACAATCTATAAGCCATAAATGCATGTTTTAACAAGATACTGGTTCTGAACAACATACTGAAGCCATCCAGAATTATCTTGGTGGCATGTATTAGAGCTTTAAAGGTGTTTAGTAATCACATGGCAACTTTCATTTGCAGTGGTTCACCAAGGATATCCAATTTGACACATGGGAAATGAAGATGCTAAAGGTTAAACAACATACCCACATTTACATAGTGAGTCACTGGCTGGGCAAGAGGGAGAAGCTCACAGTTGCTTATCTCTGTATCCTCATCCGTTCACTCCGGTAACAGCCTGTGTGTGTAATACTTTTAGGATACTTGTTCTGTAGTCTGGAACAGGATCTGGTGTTTGGCTAGGATTACTTCTGTCAGCTGCTTCGGGATCATCTTATGTAAGTACAACGTCCTTAGTCCCCTTACGTTCTGAAGAGGAAGAGTGAGATTTACATACTTTAAATAATCAGATTGTTATTGTTATCAGATTGTATCTATTGTTAATACAGACATCACTTAACAAAGCCTTGCGCTTAAGCATTTAGTGCAGCAAACAACATCAACATCGATATACCTAAAAGAGCACTGTACACTTGATTTCCATCGGCAGTGTCCTTGACTATTAGGTCACCTGCATGGGACCAAGACACTGCTTCCTCTGTGAATTCAAGTAACAAATAGCCTCTTACAGTGGAGCCAGTGGAAAACTAACTCATGAACTAGCGTGCAAACTGTATGTCCAAGGGTAGTATATTCACTTTCACAGACTACTATAAGATCTAAATATAACCCAAATGTAAATTCATAGGGAGTATAACAGCTCTAGCCAGTAATTTTAAAGGTCTTTGAGGCTCAAAAGCCGTTACATCTTCTCTTTTGAATATACTACAGAAAACGATTCTGTCAAGGAACCAAGGAAAAAGTCAAGGAACATGCTGTTCTCTGTGACAAATAACCTGACTGCTGAAGGGTATGTCTGAATTTGCCTGCCATAGTTCCTGAACCTTTTGGATCTCCCCCAAGAACAAGGTGAGAAAGTAGACCCTGATGGTTACTCTGCAGATCTTGAACCCACAGCTAAACATTCACTGCTCATAGCTCCGAGATGTGTCTTCAATGTTTTAATTAAAAAACCTTTAAAAATATTACAGTCAATGTTAAATGTAAGACCCAATCCTATTATCCTTGTCAGGTGAATATCTATATCCTTGGAAAGTTGACAGAACCATTACTTGGCTATTCAAGACAGTAATCAGATTTTCTGAGCATCAATCAGCAATCATGAAGTCAGGAACATTTTATCATGAAGTCAGGAATACAGAGGGTTTTCATAAGCTAATCAGCAGGCATCAAATAGACAATCAATCTAATTAGTGGCTCACATTTGCGTGGCAATCACAGCTGCCAAACCTAGACGACAAATTTCATTAGTAATGAAATCTGAGGACTATGATTTGTGAAGCCTATCATCAGACTGGAATTGTGGTGATTTAAAAAAGGAGAGTCGTTATGGTAGTTTGGGACATTTGGGGAATTTAATCTGTGTAGTGGGTTTTGCTTACTGGTGTTTGTTTTGCCTTCAGGGCAAATCAACATCCAGAGTCACAGCTTTCAGTGAGCTCATCTCTCAGTGTGGACCATAGCTTCAAACGAAGTTAGCATTCACTATTTAGACACTTATTTTGTTTCCAAAATATAATTGGAGCTTTTGTGGCTCCTAATTTCCTAGAGAGCTCTTTGAAAATTTTAGGCCAGAACTAGCTATATCCAGAGTACTTCTAGTGCAGTAAATATTTCTAGAGCTGAAAATTTAAAACACACCCATATGTGGTGTGTTTTATATTCAGGTATGTTCAGGTATAAATTAACCGTTTACAAAGGGGAAAAAAAAAACAACTAAATCACAAGAAGAAAACATTTCTGAGACTGCATTATGCCACTTATTGACAACAAGTAGAGATAGTAAATCCATCAAGGAGATTTGTTTTTTCTTGACGAAGAAGTGACTCTTATCCATTGAACACAAATATTTGCTGAATTGTGCCCTTTGACTGATTGTACCGAGTCCTAATCCCGAGGAAACATAAAATTATAGGTGTTGCTGCTTTTGCTTCGGGGCAAGGAGATAAACACATGAGGTCTTTTCCAACCCTATTTTGCTAAGATTCTACAAAGTTCCTATATGTTACCATTCTAGGCTCTAGTCTCAACAGCTAGTATAGATGGATTCCTTTAATTAAACAGTTGATAACACCCTCTCTTATGTCCTGGTACTTTCAGTAAAGTGAGGACGACTTAGAAGAGGATTCTATTATGGTTCTATTTTACTTAGGCTCCTGTTTTATTAGGGTCTACTAGGCCGGTTTCATGTACTATCACCTTATAGCCAGACTTGTAGTTATTTAACTGTAGAGCCTATTTTAACCATGGTACATGTTCTAGTGTTGCATGCATGGAGTAATGGAAGTACTTGAAATACACTGAAAAGAGAGAGCTGTATTTAGGCTACTCTGTAAAATGGAGCTGAAGCATTCTTATGAATCAGCTTTGAATAGTGGATCACTATCTTATTTGAAAGCTTCACTGCTTTTGCCTGGAACAGTCCTGGAATTCTTAACATAACTAATCCAGCTGTCTGACTGCCATTAGGATTAATGCTACAATAAGCACAATGCTCACCATCATCTTAAGATAAAAAGAAAGCTTTATATACTTTAGGTTAATCACATATCTATTGTCAAATTATAATTTTAATGCAGAAAGTCAGATTTCCATGTTAGCAATATCTAAGCATTAAAATGAGACCTATATTTAAATCAGATTTAAATGGATGGAGACTGCTGGGAGGCTCCAAGGATTTGAGCTTATCCAAGCTTTCCTAGGAAAACTCAAGATAAATCTTGAGTCATTAACTTTCACGTTTTCTCATCCTGTAGTTTAATCTTTTGTGGCATCAGGTTGCAATCCCAGTTTTTAACACCCTTTCCTTACAAATGCATTATGTTAACAAAATGGCAGAAATGCAAAATATTAAGTAAAAGTTTTTGTTGAAGGGAGTACATAAGCAGCTTGGATTTTTTTTTCCTCAAACTAAGAATCACAGTGTGAATTGGACTAAATGCCAAGAATAAAGTTAACAAGTTAAAATGAACAGTTGAAATTAACAGGTGTTATAGCATATGTTAGATTTAACTGCCAAGTATTTCACACCTTCATTAAAACCTTTCATGTCAATTTTAAGGCAATGTTAAAATAGAGGAAAGCGTTGCTTAAAAAAATGAATATCTAATTGTTATGTTTCAAAATCAGTAACAGGATATTTTGGGTAGGAATATAGTTTAACAGATAAGACACTGAACTAGAATTTGTCATATCTGGCTTTAATTCACAACACTTTGTAATTAACCTTGGAAAAGTACCGTAACCTACAAAGCAGTTCAGTTATCCTATTATGGGAGACAATGGAACAACGATGCATTCCTGTTTCGTGGGGGTATTATGAAGGCAAAATGGACTAAGAGCAGTGAGGTGCACAGATTGTATGATGAAGGACCAGTAACCCTGTGGACCAGGAATATGGTATTGCTATCGCTAATAATGGGCCGCAGACTTTATACTGAATTTGCAAGGCCTTATGACTGAGGCTTGTCAAGTTTACTTCATGTTAACTTATCACTGTAAAAGAAATTGTTTTCTTCTGGGCAGATGGCTATGGCTAATTTGTTTTAATTTTCTTACTACTGTATTGTAAAACCATAGTTTTATAGGGATAGCATTAACAAGTAGCTATTCTTTGCAGAATGAGATATTTTGATTCTAATATAATGAAGTAGTATAAAGAAAATAGGGGCCTGGTATGGTAGCAGAAGCCTTGAGAAGTGGAGACACATGATGTGGCATAGAGGAGTACAGGCAAGGGCGTTCAGAGATGGTGCACAGGCTTGGCGCTGGAGACCCCACAGCAGTAAACAACTTACCCATGGTCAGTTAAAGAAATGCAGACCTGAGCTGGACAAAACTGGTTTTAGAAGTAATAAAGACAGGGGGGAAAAAATAGTATCTAAAATATGTAAAAGCCATCTTATATAATTTGGATGTAACATAGAACTGCAGTCTGCATGAAAGGATGAGTGTGACACCAGAAAAAAAGGGTAGAAACTGAGAAGTGTATGTATAACAATTTTAATTATTAATGAGACTTTTTCTGTATAGAAGTGTTCTTTCTTTTTCCTGTAATAATTATATCTGAAGTAATACTGATTCTTGGATTAGGCTATTAAGATTTCTTTTACACTATCAATACATTCTTGGCTTTATATGTAAGGAATATTTCCTCTTTTCCCATATACAATATTTTGAGCATAACAGACCCTGTACAGGAACCTAGATAGAATCAGCTGTCTCAGACTCATTCTATTTTCACATCCACAGCAAGATCTATTTGAAGATTTCTAAGTTTTGTACCTGGTGAAATCATCACCCATGAACGTTTAAGGAACATTTCCTGTATAGAAATGTTGTTTTCCCCAAAGCCTTCTTTTAAAAAAACAAACAACAAAAACAACAAAATATGTTTCTAAAATGCATAAATCAATGGACAATACATGCCTACATTATTTATATTCTTTTATCTGCAGCTTGGAATTACAGTTAGAACATGCTACAAACTGATTCCCTGAGTCACTGAGCCTGGAGTTGTTGTCATTCTGAGATTATTATTCTGAAAGAGAAATGTAAACTTTGTACGATATCATACGAATGTGCTTTTTTGTTCTAGATATGTGTAATTAGGAGCATTATCATTTACTTGCCCTTTGGTAACACCTGGAAGACCAAAACTGCATTGGTACTGGACCAAACCTGTTACCGGTACTGTATAACTATATGTAAAAAAAACATGCCTCTAAAAGGCATGAATCTTAATTCAAGTAAAGAGATAGAAGTAGCCTATAGCATATAAATGAGATAGGAACACGGCAAAAGTGAGACATTTATGAATATTGGAGCTTCACCATTTTACATTAGTTTCTTAATCAGTCCAAGTATTTTGTAATTTCAGAACTACAATAATCTCTAACATGGTGAGGTAGTAAATAAATATTTGAGGTATGACTTCCACTCCAAAAAGCTTCAATATAGCACATAGAAAACTAACAGAAGTGTTAAAGTTCGTTCTACTACTCACTTTCTGGCTTATGTAGCTGTGCCAAAAGGACAAATCAGCATCTTCTAAAAAACGGTTAATTCAGGGAGCTTTTATTCCCACAGTGGAAGGTGTTCTAGAACTCAATTCCTCTGCTAGTTCTATGCATATGTTACGATAATGCAACTTTAAAATATTTATTTTAGCTAATAGCTATTTCCTCTAGGTGAACACATACTGCGCTGAGGAGTGCTGTAAAAAAGACACTAATCGGAAAAAAAAATGTTAGTCACTCTGGATTTTGAAAGCAAAGAAAGTAATTTTTATTGCAGAATAAAAACACATTGTCCTTAGCAATGGATGAAATGTGAGGGGAATGTTTAGCAATGCAGCCAAGCGTGAGTACATACCTGGACTGACTGCTAATAAAGCGGTTCATTCTTTTTCAACTTTTGATAAAATCATAACATTGTAAGCTTTAAAAAGTGATTTGGGGGCACTTTTTTCCACTTCATCCATTTTACTCTGACTGATCTTTTAAATTATATATATGCATATTATTAGCAAGTGGAGCATGGACACGTTTCAGTAAAATCTCATAACAACAGAGATACAGAGCTATATGTATTTCTCGAGTTAGTGGATTGCTGGTGCATTCTTTTTGTTGGAAATTACTATCTTCTGAGGCTGAAAATACTTTCCATTCTATTTTCCCTTTTTTCAATGGAAGTGGTAAAAAAAATTAGTGATTTTCCAGTTCATTACTTTTCCTCAGCTGCACTGGTTTTTTTTCTCTTTTTCCCTCTACTTTTTCCATTTGTAAATGGAAAAAAAAAAAAAGAAAATATGAAAGAAAAAGGAGAAAAATAAAAATAGTAAAAACCTGAATAACAAATTTTAAAAATAAATTTTGCCTACTTCGTATAATTTTTAATATACTTTCCATTCCCATGATTTCCCTCTAAGAAGGCAAGTTGTTCTAGTGGTCTACTTATCTCCAGTGGATTTAAAAAAAAAAAAAGGCAAAAACTGGAAAAAAAGGTAAGAACTGGCTCAAAGCACCACCAATAATTCAGAATTTTTTACTTTTTGTTCAATGCCACTGACTGAAAATCTTTGCTATGTTATGGCTATGTTGCAACCTAAATAAATCAAATAGTTTGTCTCTGCCTATTTTGTACCAGATAGATAAAGTATACATCACAACAACCATCCTAATAAATAGCGCTCAGCTGTCACAAGACTGCAATCTGAGGGGCCCATCCATATAGATACCTCTTTATGATCAGTTTTGGAAGCATTTTTATATACGGAATTTTAAATTTTCATTGCTCATATCACATATGATGACATGTGACTAAACAGTAAACAATTCCATTATTGTATCTATGCTTATTGCCAGTGGTAAATTTACAGTGAAATTATTAGTGAAGGGAAGACTACCAGCTCCATACTCTCTTGTTGGCTTATTTCAAGATCAGAGCTATGAAGACAGACAATCATGAAGAGATTGATGGACTTCACAATGGGAGTCTGCATGGCTGTAGATATCTGTGTGTATGATAGAAATACAGAACTGGGGCCCTTGGTAAAATCTGAGTAGGTTCATTTCGTACTCTTTTAAACAGAAGTTGGATAGCTGAGCTGACCACAATAAAACAGAACTTCAGCTGTACACTATCAGTCTAAATACATAATCTGGAACCAATCACTTAATTCATATATCTAAAAGTAATTAAACCAGAGCACAGAGGATCCATTTTTCCTAAAAGATTGAGTTAGTGTAATCCTTTATTTTAATTAAATTATATTTTTAAATGATTTTGTATGTAGCTTATGCTAAGAAGAAAGATGCATCTGAAAAATAATTTAAGAAATCCAAAAACTTAATCTCTTCTAGCACTATACTTTGACCTGCAATGATCCTGGACAATCACAAAATATATTGCCTTCTGAATGGAAAGCACACCAGAAAAGAATCCTCTCCCTGTTACAAAAATGGGTCACAGCCTCGTCACAGCTGGGTAGTTTGATGCTGCCAAACATTTTTTTTTTAGGATAATTAGATTCTAGTTAGATACTGGAAACATTACAATTCTTTCAATCCAGCTTTTGTGTATAAATTATATATTTTCTAAAATATCAGCATTTTCTATTTTAGGTTTGAATGGGTAGCCCATGTTTAGCATAGTGGGCAGATCTCATGCTGTCAAGAGCTGGAACATGCTTGGTTCACACTTTATAAGTCTTTCAGGAAGAAGTCTTCACCATAATGCCCTCCAGGAGCACTAGTATCCATACAAGGGACCAGCACATCACATCCTGACAATGCTGAATTGTTCCCTAGATAATTCTTTTGAAAGTTTCTTTTTTTCGTGGTGACTATTTAATTAGCTCAGTGAACTTTCTGAATGGTCCCCTAAGTCATTGAGTTGAGGGACCATGAAAAGACGTCATCACAGAAAGGAACTTCCTGTTAAGTGGCTGAGGGAGTCAAAAAAATTGGAATTGTGTTACGTCTGGTTGGTTCCCTTTTTAACTATAGTAGAGGAAAACAGTAGACTGTCCATGAAAGGTGGATCTCTTTCTGAGTATTCAAATTGCAGCCTGGGGACATTTACCTCCTGCCAGGGCCATTCACTTGGTTTGTAGGTCTTTAAAGAGGGAAGTGAATGATTTACTCTGCCTGTCATCATCTCCTATAAAGTCCTACAGGCTATGTTCCATCATTTCAGGCTTTACGTGGTGTGTTAAATCCTTGTCCATCCACTGTGAGGAGACATGCTGCTAGCTCCATGGCAGCTCAGTTAGCCCAGTCCCGGCTACTCTCCTGTGTGGGAGCAGAGCTCGCTGTTACCCATGTGCAGTGCACACTGCAGTCAGGTGTGACCTGGCCTGGCAAACCATGGCAAACAATCCCTGTCTCCACCTCAGCAACCTATTTAGACTACCCATCTTGAAGGCTGAGAACTCACAGTCCTATAATACACACACACAGGGAAAAATAAAAGAAAAAAAACTATGTAAAGGCAAGCAACAAGCTGCTCTCAGCTTAAAAAGGAATCTAAAGATCCTATTTAAGTCATATTCTTCCTTCTCTGACCCTGCGGGATGTAATTGATTAAATTTAAATGGAAAGTCACATGCCAGCTACCTGGTCTATTTACTTATTTTAAATATGCTAAAATCAGTCAAATTTGTTAGTGTAGACAAATATATTCCTCTTGCTAATTTGCCCTCACAAAAATGAGATGACAACATAGGAGATCATCCTGGTAAGACTAGCACCCTGTATAACAGGCACCTGCTTCCAAAAGGCCTGAGTGTTGCTATGAGCAGTTGAGACGGCAGTTCATATGCCTTGACTTTTTTACAATTCCTGTCTGCAGAAGTGTAGCTTGACTCAGAAATAGCCCTGTGAGTATGGAAAGAAATGAGTTCATCCTCACGTCTTATGCTTTGCCTTGGGGCTCATAGCAGTTTCTCTGCTGTACATTACATGGCTGGGCACCTCCGGGATCCCTTCCCAATTTAAAAAGGCCAAGGGAGCAGCACATAAAAAATGAACTCTTCCTGGCATCTAGACATTGCTCAGTCACATGTTCTTCCAGCTTCCTCTCCAATAGTAGAATAATAGAAAAATACAATTCCATAATGTCTATGAATATCCATGCCATCAACTGCAATTTTTTTATTTGCTACAGTGAAGAATCAATGAATGGCATTGCCTATCCACCAGCTCTGCGAGAAAGTGCCTGAGAAATACACTTACTTCTATAACTATGCTATGATTTTATTATAATTACTCTTCACTCAGTTTCTGATTTTCACACATGACACATCATCATTGCCTCTTGTCTCTCTGCTGATCAGATCATTCATGTCCAATAATTGGTATTTCCACAGTCAAACACTTAGGTACAAAGATATCACTACAGCTGTGGAAGCTCAAGTTGCAGATCATTGGTGACTGGGAGGCCAAATAAGAGAAATATCTATCAAATAAGAGAATATATGCATTATATACATGTGTGTGCGTGTACGTGTCTGTGTGCGTGTGTGCGTATATGTAAAACATATCCTAAGACTTTTCTACAGTATTCAATTTTGGCAATTGCTGAAGGCAGGAGACTGGACCAAACAAACCTATATTCAACTGGTTTGACTCAGAGTTTTTATGAAAACTCTCAAAATACCAAATTGTTACTTTTAAGCTCTTGTTTTTCATTTATGAACTGCTGACTTATGCTGCTTGTCCTTCTGAAAGGGATAAAGTTTATCTTCTGTGAGAAAGGCATCCTGGTAGAAAGAGCTTCAGCACTGAGAACTTCTTCAAAGATGAGTCACAGTTGTGTAGGTTTCTATTACCCTTCCAAAAAAAGATGAAGAAAGGAAATGTCATCATACTTTACATTTCTTAGACAAGAGTAAAGCAGAGCTATGCTTTTTTTTCTTGTTTTTTTCCAGCAGCTTCTGTGTATAAATTATACATTTTCTTAAATATCTGCATTTTCTATTTCAGGTTTGAACTGATAACCTGTGTTTTTGCACAGTAGGCAAACCTCATGCTGTTACAAGCTGAAGTGAGATTGCCTCAGATTTCACTTTCCCTCATCTCAAGGAGCCCTTCAGTAGTATGCCATTAGAGATAATGTGAAGCTTTGAACTGAAACACTGTAGACACCATGATGCATTACAACCTCTCCAGCCAATGAAATGCTGCAGTATAACGGGACCTGCTCAGCCACACTAGCCCATGTTAAGAGGAGATAAATACTTCCACAGAAAATCGTGTCAAGGTGTGACACCTTCCCCAGCTAAGGAGCTGAAGGGGCTGTGTGATTCTCTTCCGAGAAGGTGGAAGTCAACATGTGTCAAGGTTGCATAAATTAAGACTGTGGACTAAATACCTTTTGAAGTAGTTCTTGCTGCCATGTAGTCCACAAAACGCCATGGATGGAGGGATTGCATGTTCTGTGAATTATGTACATTTTGGAACACACGAGTGCAGAGGCAAAGGTACAACTGCCACTGCTGAACGCTAAACCGGTACACAGCACTTGGAGCTGGGAATGCAGATACTGGATCTGCAAAGTCTTAGAGTAAACGATCACAATTAAAAATCTTTTAAATCTTTTATGAAAGATATAGAAGAAAAGCAGACAAAGCTTTTTATGTAAAGTATTCAAGGAGACTTTCATTTAAACAGCATCCATTATTCCCCTTTCTTCTAGCTGAAGAGCATTTTTATGAGGAAAATTCCCTGGCTGATAATGTCTTTTTATACATTATTAAGATGATATTAACTCCCCTTTTGGGAGAGAACAAGAAAATAAAAAGTAGTTTAGATGGGCTGGAGCTGTATTTCTTGTCTCCTTTATTGGAGTCTGGGCCTGCTCCCTTGAAAAGAAAACAGGGTAAGCACATACACAAAGGCAGTGGGAAAAATAGCCAAGAGAGAAAAAACAGCTTCTGTTTGTACTGTTGACTCTGATTGGTAACCTTGCTTCTGGAGAAAGACAAGCACAGCACATGGTCTTATCAGCCTCTCCAAGACCTGGCAAGCTTGAACCAGTGTTAAGCTGTTTAAGACATTACTATTAGCTGCCTCCTTGGTCACAGGCTTACAGTAGGGTTCACAAAAAAAAAAAAAATTGAGAAGGAGAGAAAAAAAAATAGGGACTTAGCAAGCTAAGCCAGATTCTATCTAAACAGGAAAAGGGTGGGGAGGAGGGAGGAAAGACAAAGATGAGGAAGGACAAGACTGAGAGTGACACCAAGGGCACAAGTTTCATATTCTAACCAGCATTCAGGATTTAGCCAAAGCTCATGGAGAAAAGGCTGCTGTTAAATTCTTCCTCTACCTCTGTCTTGCTGGTCAGCCCATCTTACCTGCTTCTCTGATTTCTCAGCACCAGAACCATGGAAATATAAAAGTATCACTGCAGATTCTGAGCTCCTGAAATATGGTGGGCCTGGCAGCTGAAATGCAAAATTATACTGCTTTCCATTTTGTTGTCCTCCCAGCGGTACTGTCAAACTATCAACTGCTAAGTGTGGTGACTGGTAGAATATCCCATCTTCTCATCATTTTATTCATCTGTTAAAGGTAACTTCTGACATGCTACTGTTGTTCCATTACTGTCTCATCTTTGTTCTTCTAATATGCCAGAAAATAAATATCATATTCCAAGATATCAGAAGATTTCTTTGTTTAAACTATTTTTGTTATTTATGTGTAAGTTTTGTTTACTTACAGAAAAAATGTTTTATAACAAGTTGTGTTGATCTTTGGATGCTCTGACTGATGCAGAAGATAGACTTCTGTGCTGCAGCCGGAGTGAAAGAACAATTGCAATGCATTGTCCATATAGTCAAGTTATGGTCCCAGCCCAAAGTATGCATGCCTTTATGCATCTTCTGGAGCACCCTCGTAGTGCCGTGAGGAGAAAATTCCAGAGCACTTTACACTTCACTTCCAAAGAGCCCTCAAGCAGGCTCAGATATCTGTATTGATCCACAGCCATATAAATAGTCCCAGGTCTGCCAGGACTTATCTCTGAGCATTACGGGTAGACCCCCGTGCTG